CTCCTCCTCCTCCTCCTAAATTTAGCTCGGCTCCGAGCCGGATCGCTCTTTCTCTCGCTCCCTCCCGATGTGTGTCATCTACCCCCTTCCCAGGCACCCTTTCTTCCCTACCGTCACCAAGGCAACTGCTCTGGACGTCCTCCGGCTGGGATGCTGAATTGCACGGGGATGTGCGTGGAAACCCGCGGCGCACAGATCCCCTGACCAGCAGCCAGCGCAGGGGAGCGGGCTCCTTGCTGGCGGTTCATGGGCTTAGGCACACCTCCGGACCAATGCTTCCCAGCCAGGGTCCCTGTGGGGCAGGTGGGTCACAGCTGCCCTGATCCCCAGCTGCGCAGCCTCCTGAGAGCCCTGGCAAGCCAGTGCGAGCGAAAGAGGCATCTCTTGAAGGGGCAGAAGGGCGGCAGATTCTCCTCCCTCGGGTTCCGTTGGTTCTGGGGAAGGCGAGGCCGGGCGCTTGGCCCCAGAGATGCCCCCGCTCCCCAGAAATGGATGCGCCTCTGCCCCTGGGCCATGGGGGCTTTTCCGGCTGGACTCCCTCTCGCCCACACCCTGCCCCGACAGGTGACCTGGATGAAATGGGAGAGGATCTCTTCCTCCCCGAAAGAGGGAGGGTCAGCCCATGGTGAAGCAAAGCCAACTTTTGACCCAAACCAGTGAGAGCCCAGCCAAGCCCCTGAGCCCCTCCAGGGCCCACAGCCCCAGTTGTGGGGGATACGACCCTTCGAGCGTCCTTGCTCAACGTGCTTCCCTAAAGCCAGTGGCAGCTCCCAGTTAGCCCTGGCTGATCTTGAAAAAGCTAAGCAGGGTTGGATCTGGTTAATGGTTGGATGGGAGACCACGAGGAAATCCCATGGCACTGGGGAGTTCTTTGGCTCCGTCTCTGCCCCCGGAAGGGCCTCAGGTTTCAAGAGGCCGTGGCAGGGCAAACCCCCCAAAGGGCTAGCAGCACATGGAGAAAAAGGCAGAGTTGCTCTGCTTCATGGTCACCGGATCTCTTTCTCCAGCACTTTCGGCCCTGTGGCTAAGGATGGGTCTTCCGAGCCACTCTGTCCAGGACATCCAGTGCGGCTTTCAAGCTTCGACACCAAAGCTGAGGGAGATGGCTGTAAGTGCCGATGGCCGAGACTTGGTTCACAAGGCCTGCTAAATCATGGCTTGATGAACAAGCCAAGACCCAGCTTGTTAAGCCGTGAATCATGGTCAGGTATGGGTCACAGAACCTGCTCCGGGCAAAGGGTTGCTGCTAGAATGAGGGCTGCCCTGTGCTCCTGGGGACCCGGGACGCATCACCCAAGGGAAAGCCGCTCGAGAAGAGGGAGGCCGGAACGTCGAAGGACTTGCGCTTCCGGCCACAGCGGTGCTCTCCTGTGACACTGCTGGTGTTCCCAGGGCCCAAAGCGGGGATGGGGTTTACGCAGAACAAGCAGGCCTCTTTTACAGCTCGGCATCCTGTTCTGAAGGTACGAGTATACTCTGAAAACAAAGAAAGCAGAGGAGGAAACACGAAGTAGATTTAGCTTAGAAGCAAGAGGGTTTTAAAAGGAGGAGGGCTTTGCCCGAAACAGGATATAGCCTTGGGAAGAAAGGAACCGTGTGGAGGTTAATTGCAATCATTATCTAGAACGAGAACACGGAGCAGAGCACCTGAGTCCTGGTGAAAAGAGAAACCACAAAACGTGTAACTTCACCCCAGAAAAGGTCGGCCGCCCAGCCCGCCCTTCGCACCCAGCAGTTCCCTGCGTCACAGGCAGAGGGCGCAAGGGCCCGTTGAGGCCTGGAAACGCACCAAGGTGCTGAGAGAGACGCGCGGCCCCAGGTCAGGGCGGCGGCCCCTGCAGTTCCCCTCTCGGCCACCAGAGGATGGCAGAGCCCACTGCCCCTGAACATGGGGGCTCTCGTCCTGCTCAGATGAAAATCAGACTCCTTCCTGTCCGTCTTTGCGACTGGCCGTTATTAAAACCATTGTCAGGGGACCTTCTCTGGTGCTCCTGCCTGCTCTGGCTTGTGGGGGAAGACTCTCCTCTGGGGCGAGGGCTGCATGCAGGGAATGCCCTCCCAGGCAAGTTCACCTTGCATCTCCACTGTCTCTATGGATGTCACTTTTTTCACAGTCAGCTTTGCTTTTCCCCCCTTGTAATTTGCAATCCTTGGTTTGGATGTTTCTGGGTCACTTCAGGGGCTGTTTCCCAGCTGAGCAGCACATGCACCAGAGAAGCAAGGAAATAAATAACTAGATAGAGATAGACAGACAGACAGACAGACAGACAGATGATAGAGTGGATCCCATCAGCTCTGCAACGTCTTTGCCCAACTGGCACCTCTGGAGAAACTCACAACCCTCCCCGAAGCTAAACCCACCATATCCAGGGCTGCCGAAGGGGCACGCTGGTGCTTCTACTTGGTCTTCAGCATGCCCACCCTTTGCCTGGGGGCCCCTCGGGATCCCTCCCTGTTGGCCCTTGTGCCCCATCCTTCGCCAGGGACTCCAGACTCGGCTGTCCAAATGTCCAAATGCTTTTGGCTGTGGCATGCCAGACCTGCAAGAAAAGTTGTCGGGAGGTGGGGGAACACCCCCGAGAAGCCAGCAGAGCTCTGCCTGGATGGATGCAAAGTGCCCAGGCGCCTCAGAGGACCCCATGACTGATATGCCCATTGTGTTGGGTGTCTGTGTGCCCTGTGTCATCCCCAGCAAAAGCGCCTGGCCAGAGATGAATGCCCGGTCCAGGCAGAAGGCGTATGTGTGGCTTTTAAAATCCATCAGGCCCTCTGGCTGGGATGATGTTCTGCTCCCCGCTTTCTCCTCCTGTTGTTGTCCTCCCTTGGCTGCTGCCACCGCCACTGCCCGTCTTGCCTTGTGACCCTTAGTGTATGGAGTGTGCTTGATTTCCAGCTCATTAACTTTTTGCTAAAACTTTAACCCTCTGGCTTCTCCTGTGAGGTCCCTCCCCTCCCCTCCAGTCCAGGGCCAAATCCTCTCTCCCTTCCTTCTCTTCCTTTTCTTCTTTTCTCTCACACTCTCCACTTTTCCTCCTCCTCCTGCTTCTCCTTTCTGCACAAATTCTGGCAGGGCTCTTGTCTGATAGGCTGGCTGAGGACGTCAGTCGCCTCCCTCAGCTGCCCCCTCCATTAAAAAAATAATCCTTTCATTCACTTGAACTTGAACAAACTTTTGTAAGCCATGGAGAGGGGGAAAAAAGAAGGCATAAAATCCATGGGGGAGGCTCGGCTTTGCAGAGCTGGGCGACGCTGATCTGATGGTGGAAGCTCCTCAGCCGCCATCTCCACGGTGGTCCACGCAGCCTTGCCGCTCTGGATCCCCAACCCCCGTGGGGAGAAGAGTTCACCCACAGGCCAGCTAGAAAACGGGGGAGCTGACTTATTCCTGACCAGCCTGGCGCGGTGAGAAGGTCCACTCAAGGTGAAGGTCACCCGGTTTGCAGTCCAAGCCTTCTCCAAGCTCAAGGTAAGACGCCCCCGCCTTGGACGCAGGCAGGAGGACACGGGACGGTTCCAAATGTCCCCCAGGGTCGGGCCCCACTCTTGCTGGTATATCTGACAGGGTGATGCAGAAGGCGAGGCGGGGAGGGGGTTTCGCTAAGGGGCCTCTTCCTGGAGCTTCAGCAGGTGGTGATGGATACCAACGTGCACAAGCGGACTTCATTCAGTTGTCTCCATTTTAGGCAGTTTTGGCAAAAGGCAAGCAAACTCTCTCCCCCTTGGGGAAAAATGGCTCTCTTTCTCTTCTTGTTTCCAGCAAGGTTTATTCCTCCCAAGGTCTCAGATCCCCCTTCCTGGGATTGTTTCCTGTGTCTCCCGAGGGAGACGGTTGCATGGGCTTGGAGGAGAACTTACATATATGGATGTGGGGTGTTACATGTGGGAAACACAAAGCCTTTGCAGGGACTCTCACGGTCCCGGCGATGTTCTCTGTCCGGGGGTAGATGGGGGGACTCATGTCCCCCACACTGCTGGGGCTTTCCCAAGAAATAAGAGGCAGAAAGCATCAACAGGTGCTGAACGATGTGACTCTTTGGGGCTGAACTGCAGGGTCTGGCTCTGGGGACACTTTTCAAGAGGTGAGCGGGCTGTGCCGTTTTTGCCAAGGGCAGATGTCTGCTGAAGGGAATCAGGGAGTCAGGTAGGTGGAGGGAGGGAGGGAAGTGGAAGGAAGAGAGGTTTTGGCAGGCAGGGAAGTCAAGACACCCCTCTGAAGCTGGAAAATCTTTTGTTTCAATGCCTGGCTTTCCCTCAGCTTTGCAGAAATTATTCCAAACTGGTGACCCCACTAATCTGCCCTTCCCAACCAGAAGCCCTCCAGGTGGGCCAGATTCAGACCCATGAAAGATCCTCGCTCTCCACCCCTGCTAATATTTCTTAAATGTCTATATTTTTCTCCTGATAACCAATCTTAACATTCCTGGAAACGGCCTCTTTCCCCCACACCTTTCCTGAGAGTATGCTCCTTCTTTGGGGGAAAAAAGAGTTATTTCCCTGCCAGTGTTTTGAGGAAGGGCTGAAGTGGTGAGGCATTAACTGGGTCCTGAGGCCAAGGTCCTTTTCCTGTGGCAGATTTTGTAACCTCAAGGCAGCTAATTAAATTATGTCATTTCATTTTGCTTTATTTCGCGAGGGCAAAGGTTGTGGAGGACGGAGCAGAGATGCCAAGGCCAGGAGTTTCTCTATTTTCCTGAGGTTGTGAGTGTGAATTTTGGGGAGTGTTTTCTTTCCTACGAAAAGGATGCCAAGACGCTGAGGTTTAGGGTTTTTGTGGATTTCCTGCCTGGCTTTCTGAACTGGCTGTAGAAAGGGGGAAGTCGAGATAATTTAAACCACTGTGAAAGCATTGTGTAAATAATCTTGTGGCTTGGCTGTGTGGGGCAAGCATGCCCACTTTTCCAGAGAGGCTGAGGGATGGGGCCAAGCCCAGAACCCACCAACTCTACGAGAGCGATGGCGATGGCCGGACTGCCTCTCTCGCTGAGCTGAAGGAGAACAGAAAGACTTGGCAAGCTGGCTCTTCCTGGGCCTCCTGGAGAAGGAGCACCAAGGCACCCCAAATAAACGCTTGGCAGGCAGAGAAACGGAGGCAGTATTTGCCTGGGTGATGGGCATGGCCGTGCCCCCAGGGTTGGCAGAGAACTGGAGGTCAGAACAGGTGAATCCTGGAGGGGGTGCAAAGAAGACAAATCTCAGCCCGAGGAGCTCATGCCCACTGGGGTGGCCGAGAGAGAAGGGGAAGGGGAGGCCGAGCGAGAGAAGGCTGCGGCTCCCCCCGCGCATACTAACAAGCTGGGCTTCTCAAAGGTCTTTTTGTCTCTGGAAGCTCCATTCAGGCCTTCTCTTGGGGGGCAGACAATGGGGCTACTGTCTTGCCCGCTCTCCTTACCAAACAGTCAAATGCTTTCACTCCCCCCCATCTCCACCCCCTCCCCACAGGCCTGGCCGGATCCTCAGCAACCGAGTTTGACGGTTTCCAATATCTGCTGCCCGGCAGAGGTTCAGTGGGGAGTCTCGCCCCGCCTTTTCCTCCCCGCCTGGGTCAAAGGAGGGAACAGGGCCAGCCGCATCCCCAGGAGGGATTGCTGGTGGACCGGAGAACGGGCCCAGTTTGCCACACAGAAGGAAAGGGGTCCTTGGGGAGACGGGGGCCTCAATGCACGTGGGCCTCTCGGCGTCTCTGCTCAGTTCTCGGCCTGCCACGTTCCGTCCCCGGCGGCTGCGGGGAGAGGAATAGGAGAGGCTGTGCGGATCTGAGGGAATTTCGCTGCTGGTACGGAAACCAACAGGGCGTAGCAGGATCTCTCCCTTAGAAGGGCTGCAAAACCTTTCAGACACCCCAGGGCAACTGAGGCGGACCCTGCACCGATGTCTGTAAAAGGCCTGAGTTGGCAGAAGCCCCTGCGGCCGCCCATTGCAGCCAGGCACTAAGAGCCACCCCGGCCTGGCCTGCAGGTGCCCTGCAAGATGCCCGAATCGCACTGCAGCTTTGACCGTGCCACTGCCCGGCTGCGCCTCGGACAATGCACCCGTTTCTACTTAAACGCCTCCTGGGTTTCCCCAACTCTTGGTCTGCTTTTCTCCCGCCAGCCATGCTGCTGAGCATGATGGGAGTTGTTACCCAATGCTGCCGAAGGGCAAGAGGGTCAGCATGGCTGCAAGAGCCGGCGGGAAGCACAGGTGCACCGTTCCGATGCAATTCGCCTCCAGAACATTGTCCTGCCCGGCCCAGATGACCAGGCTGAGGGACGCTGGCCGGCCTTGCACCTGTCCAGCTGCTCCTGAGTTCTCCACCCCAGCCAGATCCCTGGAAGCCCAAACACAAGATCTGACAAGCTGCTGCTTGTTCTGGTGCCACCAAGTTGCCCTGGAGGAAGAAACTTATTTGCAGCACAACCTTTCAGAGCAACCCCAGTTCACAGTTTAACCACATTTGCTGAAGGCCAGGAAGGAGCTGCGAGGCTTGTTTACCAGCCTTCAGAAGGTATCGTCGGAAAGTTTCCCTAACCCTAACCTTTCCGAAAGGGGGGACCGGTTGGCGTCCTTTTCCTCAGAGGCGAGCCAGATTGCCGGGGAGGAAGCCCCCAGGACAAGGAAACGTTCTTAAGAAAGAGGCCTGAGGAACCAGTTTCGGCCAAGCCAAACTTTTTGTCTGTCTGGCACAGGGTTGGGTCTGGCGCACCTTCCTGCCTCAACTTCTGAATCCGTTTCTCTGAAAATCCCTGGCATTCAAAGGATGGCAGGGAAACGGGTTGGATTCTGTTCAAATGATGCGTTTTGCAACCCAAATCTGGCACAGCCAGAATCTCACGCAGGAGGGAATTTAGGAAGTAACTCTAAACCTCTGGCCAGACCCTTCAGAGGAAAAAATAGTTATATATTATGTTCTTCTTGTAAAACAGGCTGTAAACTTTTACGTACTGTGGCAGCATCGTTCCCTGCCTAATGAATGCAGGCCGAGGAACACGTAGTTAATGTTTAATGCCTCCAAGATGTTAACAGCCAGCCACCTGTGGGGCCTATTGCAGGGACCGCTTTGGGGCATCTGGGGACCA